CCTGGGGCACCCGGGTCCCCGGGAAAGGCGGGCGGTGGCGGCGCGCCCCTTACGCGGCTGGGCGCCCAGCGAGAACCGCCCATCAGCCGTCAGCACCGCGTCTGAGCCGCACGGCCCTTACTACGTGGAAAGCTCGGAGGTAGTTAATCAACGGAAAGGCAGGTCCGCTCCAAGAAACTTCTGTTCCCCTCCCGCCGGCCCCCGTCGGCGGACGCTCAGCTCCACCCCGCCCGGGCCGGGGGACTCCGGCTCCGAGATCCCAGCCGACGCTTATTTCCTCGCGAGAGCTTCTCCGCGGCCGAATCCCAGGCTCTTCGCGAGGGCAGGGAAGAGTCGCGATATTTGGCTCAGTATTCCTCCCCAGGCCCCGCCCCTCCGTCTCGGCGCTCGGGGCGCGGCTTCCAGGTTGCACGTGCAGTTGTTGTGGTTCGCTCTCACGTGAGCGCGGAAGTGGGGCACCTCAGGCCCCGCCTCCAAGATGGCGGCGTCCAGTGCTCGGGACTGCAACGCGCCCCGGCTCAACCCCGAATTATAGCGTTGACGGTATTAGGGGGGCCATGGACCGGCCTGGGTTCGCGGCCTCGCTGGTGGTGAGTGCGGGCGGTAGAGCGGGGTGCTCGGAGGGCCGGGGGCGGGCACTAGCGCCTCCGCACTAGCAATTTCTTCCGGTTTGCGCGCTGACCTGACCTCCAGTCTCCGGTCACCGGGTCTGGGGCTGGCGCGCGGCTCCAGGGCCGCCGCCGAGGCTCTGCCCACCCCCGTCCTTCCTACCCCGACGCTGTGAAGAGACGGGGAGGAGGGCGCTTGTCTCACTGTCTCCCTCCTTTCCTATCCCGACGCTGTGAAGAGACGGGGAGGGGGGCGCTTGTCTCACTGTCTCCCTCCTTTCCTACCCCGACGCTGTGAAGAGACGGGGAGGGGGGCGCTTGTCTCACTGTCTCCCGCACCCAGACAGTTTCTCTCCTTAAGAGCTTCAGTCAGCCCTGGCCGGGTGGCCCCGCGTTAGAGCCCCTGGCCCGCGCCCCGAGGGCTCGAGGGGTCCATTCCCGGGCACTCCCTGGGTTCCAG